TCTATAAAGTGCTCCACAATACTCTTCACTCTGAACTTCCTCCCTACACTAAGGCATAGTCTCGAGACCTAGGTGAGGACATTCCGGCAGAAGATTGGTCCACGTCATTCCACTTTACTCATAAATCATCTATTTCTTGATCCTCACAAGAAAAGAATTTTAAGCTTCTTTCTCGATGGTACAGGGATCCCCTCTCCCTACACAAAATTTTTCCTTCTACACCTGATCTTTGTTGGCACTGTAATAGAGCTGTTGCTACACAGCTCCACATTTGGTGGTATTGTGATCAAATAAAACTCTTCTGGTGACAAGTCTTTGCTGTATATAATCGGATCTACGGTCAGTCCTTGGCCCATTCACCGGAAATTGCTCTTCTATCTATATTAGCTGGCTCACGGGCAGCACAGAAGAAAAGTCTGTTGCGCTTCTATCTGCGGCCCGCCAATTGATACCTCTTTTGGAAAACGACCAACCCCCCTCCTTTCCCGATGTTGGTTTCCGTGCTTAATGATACCATGCGTTTGGAGGAAATGCTGGCGTTTACCAATGATAAACATAAGTTGCTGTGGTCGATCTGGCTCCGTTTCTACTCCTCTGCGACTCTCCGAGATATGTGTTCCCCTGTTGCGCTCTAGCGGAGTTGAGCCTTGCTCCCATGACAAATTTTCATTTTGGCTTATCCACCAATTGGACCCTGCGGTCCATGCCGAGATGCGGGCGGCAGGGTCGCTTAGGTGAGAATCGGTTGAGGAGCCACCCTACTATTGCTTTCTACTGTCCCCGTCTCCCAATCCCCTTTTGCTTTCCTTTCCACTGGCTTTTTTCTTTTCTTTTTTTTCTCTTAGTTTAAGTTTATATTTTTGGTTGTATGGAGTTCTCTCATATTGTTTCAGACCCCGGGAATACCCCCGATACTTTATTATGTTATACCTCCGTAATACAAGTTATTGATCCTTCCCTCTTGCAGTTTTACTGCTTCATTTTCATACATCCACATGGATCATAACCACATCTGTGATGTTTTTTTGTTTATCTACTTGTACATGTTCTTTATACTTCTCGTGCTATGTCTGTTAAATTTATGCAAAATAATAAAGACAAATTTGCCTTTAAATTTGTGTGCGCTTATGAAATGGCAAAAAACTTTAGTACCCTATATTTTCTATAGGCAACCCTTCTAAAGCCCCTTATAGGTCATCAGTATAGTGTTCTGGAGGAGGTCTGGTGCTAGAATTATTGCTCTCATTCTGGCGTGCGTGGTCATATGTAACCATATCTTACCTCCATCACTATGGTGTTGCTAGCAAACTGATCTCAGCATTGACAGGGATACTGAGCAATGCACCACTGTTCACCCTCAAAAACTCTTCCTTTATATACAGACTTTACTGTTGCTAAGTTAGCTCATATCCATATCTGGGAACGTTTGAAAATCAGAATTCCTGAGAATGGAGACAGTGATGGGCAGGGTTAATAGCAGCACGCCACAACAAATTGTGGGTGCCACAAAATTGTGTTAAACAGTGCGAGAGGATTAAAAGGTACAGGGTGGAAGATATAGTGCAGGGGTCCAGATTGGGTAAGGTGCATAGGTCAGGTGTGTAATGCACATAGTTTAGGAGTCAGAAGTATATACAGTCCAGTGCACCACACAGGAGTACCTCCTATGCACATACAGTTGTGTTCAAAATAATAGCAGTGTGTTGAAAAAAGTGAATAAAGCTCAAAATCCCTCTAATAGCTTTTATTTCCATACACACAAATGCATTGGGAACACTACACATTCTATTCCAAATCAATACATGAAGAAAAATATATCAAATTTGTGTTGTTCCTCTAAGAAAATTGAAGAAAAGTAGATATTAGACTGTTCAAAAAAATAGCAGTGTTTGTATTCTTCTTTACAAACTCAAAAACATTCACTATATAAACTGAAAAATGTTTGAAGATTTTGCTTTCCTTTGAATCACTTAATTGATATTTAGTTGTATAAGCGGTTTCTGAGAACTGCTGTACATCTGTGTTGCATGGAGTCAACCAACTTCTGGCACCTGTGAACAGGTATTCCAGCCCAGGATGATTGGACTACATTCCACAGTTCTTCTCTATTTCTTGGTTTTGCCTCAGAAACTGCATTTGTGATGTCACCCCACAAGTTTTCTATTGGATTAAGATCTGGGGATTGGGCTGGCCACTCCATAACGTCAATCTTGTTGGTCTGGAACCAAGATGTTGCACGTTTACTGGTGTGTTTGGGGTCGTTGTCTTGTTGGAACACCCATTTCAAGGGCATTTCCTCTTCAGCATAAGGCAGCATGACCTCTTCAAGTATTCTGATGTATTCAACTGATCCATGATCCCTGGTATGCGATAAATAGGCCCAACACCGTAGTATGAGAAACATCCCCGTATCATGATGCTTGCGCAACCATGCTTCACTGTCTTCCAGTGTACCGTGGCTTGAATTCAGTGTTTGGGGGTCGTCTGACAAACTGTCTCCGTCCACTAGACCAAAAAGAACAATCTTACTTTCATCAGTCCACAAAATGTTGCGCCATTTCTCTTTAGGCTAGTCAATGTGCTCTTTGGCAAATTGTAACCTCTTCAGCACGTTTTTTTTTCAACAGTGGGACTTTGCGGGGGCTTCTTGCAGATAGCTTGGCTTCACATAGGCGTCTTCTAATTGTAACAGTACTCACAGGTAACTTTAGACCTTCTTTGATCTTCCTGGAGCTGATTGTTGGCTGAGTCCTTGCCATTTTGGCTATTCTATCCATTTGAATGGTAGTTTTTCGCTTTTCTTATGAACAATGTCAGGAACGACCCATTTTCCTCAGAATTTCAGCACAGAGAGAAATGCACTGTAACCAGCATGTACATTTGCTGCCTTCCTTCCTTAAATAAGGGCAATAATTGCCACCTGTTTTTCAAAGAATGAATGACCTCACTAATAGAACTCCACCCTGCTATTATTTTGAACATGCCCCTTTCAATTAGTGATTCAATTACAGAGAATTAGCAGCATGCATGTCATAACTGTTGGGTCTGTTGGATTTCTATTACTCTACTACACCTGCTAGTAAATTATTTGCCATGTAGAAATATCGTTTCTACCAAAAACAGTGATTGATCAGGTTAATGATGTCTGACTGCTATTATTTTGAACACAACTGTACATACACACTGCATACATGTACATATAACATACATACACAAACACACACTTCTCTAGGGGAATTGCTGGTATCCTTAGTTACCCATGTCCCCACCCCTGCCAGTAGGAGAAACCAGTGGAGGCAGCTAGCAGCCACTACCTCCGCTTTGCCCTGCTGTCATTCTTCCTCCTCTCATAAATGCAGGGTACAGCATGCCCAACTCAGAGAAATTACATCATGCACGCTGTGCTTTGTTTACATATGCGGGCTAGAAATTTCAGAAATGTAACCACTCCAGTAATGTCCTGACAGCTAAATTCTAGTATGTTGCCAGCTATGCCCACATCTCCCCTATGATGGCCTAGTGTATGAAAACTACATACAGTATATATCCACTTCCACCCAGCAGATGGTGCTCCAAACCTTTTTTTGCATGATTATTAAAAAATAAAAAAGGGCTATTATTTACAGGGCTCAGTCTTGTGTTCAATTTGTCCCCAGATTTATTTATTTATTTAAATGGACCCTTGCCAATGAAGATGAAGAACACTTACCTCTCTGACAGGCAATGAATCCTACCTGTGCTCTCTTTAAAGCAGAAATAATCAATCTCCTTTACAACCAAGGAAGCTGCCATTATAGTCTCTGTTTGATCTGCAGGTGCCTTGGAGCTACACGTGATGAGTTATGATTCAAGCCATTTGATGGCTTGACAATTTGGTTGAGAGCACAAGCAACTGTGACCATTATTACTCATGCCTTGAAATTATTTGTTTTGGGGACCAGTTAAATTGAGGGGTTTAATTCCAGTGTAATATCTACAGTGGTGGGAGAATCTTTAGCATTCAATACACTTCCACGTCAGATGTTTGGCCCCCCACTGCTAAATGTGGTTATGTCCACTGGCTGTTATGTTACTACTGTGCCCTGTAATGTTGTAATGGCTTGTGGGTGTCGGAGGATAAAGATTCTTCAGGTACTGTAGCTAAGAGCCAAGACAGGAGTCATCCCCCTATGGAAATATTCATCTTCTTTTGATTTTCTCCACTACATGCAGGAATCCACACTTTACTGATAAGAAATGTAATTATAAACACAGCATTCTTCACTGACCACTACTGCACCTTTTTACTTCTCCAATGACTGCCACTGCACTTCTTCAGTTGCAAATTCATTCCATGAGAACCAAATGTATGTACGTGAACCACAGATAGATCAAGACCTTTTTTTTAGATTGATTTTACACACATACTCTCTAAAAAAAAAAAAAAAAAATCACTGTAAATGTGCCCTAAAGTTAGGGCCATACTTGAGGCTGCTCAATGTTGCAGCCAGTTTCCTCTTTTGCTGGAAACTGCAATCTACATTTCATTTAAATAATCACATAAAAAGACACAAATTAAAAATTTTATTACCTTTCGCATGGCCAAAACAAATGGTAATTAAAAAAAAAAAAAAAACTATTTGCAAAAGATGTCTTAAGTTTCTGCTTTAGGGTAACCATACAGGTTACAGTCTGCCCATATATATCAACTTTAGATTTACCAAAACTATATAATGTTAGGATCTACCTCACCTATCCAGTCAATTTGTATTCAGTCAGGCAAGCCCTTGTACTACACAATTGGTGGTAGTTCTAAAAGGACAATGTACAACCAAATTGTAACACAGATGGTGAGCTGTATTAGATTTTCACTGAAAACCACTTGATGTTTGTTCTGTGCAAATATATTCTCTAGCTGACTGCAGCACGTGTACTTCCAGGATCTGGTATGACGACAGTTTATAGAAGTAGCAGACAAGCCAGGTATTCCTCCTAGTCCATCAACAATGAAAAACAATGTTTTATATTGGACAGTCATAAATATGGATTTCTTGGTCATCTCCAACAGATACAATTTTAGAGCCATTTCTGTTGTACTGTACACCCCAAACCTGCAAGAAAGCCAATACAGTTATGGGTCATGTTTTGGTTCTATATTAGAGAAAAAGAATAAGATTGAGCAATAACAGCTAAAACATGCTATTATGTATCTTGATATGTCAATATGGATATGCAAGAAAATATAATGGAACTCCAATACAATGCCTGCTAGCAATTTCCCACAAATGTGCTTTGAAAAACAGCTTTACTTTAGTTTTTTTTTTTTTTTGTTTAACATCTGCATTAGATGCACTACTTTTAGCCAGTTTTCCACAAACATTCTAATACTTAACAGTGCAAAACTATTAGGTCACTTTTGCAAAGTTAAAGCAGATCTTCATTCTAAAGCTTGTATTTTAAAGTGAAGATCCACTTAATTTTTTTCCTGTGTTGTTTTTATTATCTAAAGATCCAGTAATTCGTACAACATACTTACACTGGTCACACTTTGCACAATGTATATATAACTCATATCCAATGGACCACTTGGGAAGCTGGAAATCACTGTAGTAGTTGCCGCTACTCCAGTGATAGCTGAAAACTGCTCTGGTTCTAGGTGAGTGACTGTACACTGACCACAACGGGGTGGGGGTGGGGACTCGCTTGCTTGAATCCATAAAAAGCCTTGTATTTTTTTTAATTGAATACCAGGCGTTATCAATTGGATGAGGTGAAGAGGGACGGTGGCTTTGCAAAGATCCTGCTCCGTTTATAGTCTCCTTGCCAGCACTTCCTCACCGCATCTGCCTTTGTCACAGCCAGAGCAATACCTTTTCCCCCTGGGTATGTGGGAGAATTTGACCACCTCCCACATCAAAATGGTTGAGTCCAGCAACCAATCATTGGGCCTGAGCACTGTCACCTGCCATAGGAGTGCTATCCACGCTGCTTCTGGCGTTCAACAGATGACACCTTGCATTTCACTCCCTGATGCAGAGCAGGCAGGAGCTTTGCAGAAGTACTGGCAAGTATATTCGGAGTGGTAGGATATTTACAAAGATGCTGTTGCTTTGCCATGCATGGGCAAGGTGACAGTATCTCTTTAAACCTAAATGACTGCTCCAATATTATTCTTCTACCTTTGGCGTGCGAGGCGATACCTGTGTTTGCAACAGGCATTTACACACAGTCCTAACATTGTGCAAGTATGTGCATGTGGAGGGTATCTAAAGGCTGTTGTCACACCTTTGCAATACAGTAAACATACTTTTAAACATGCTTTACCATAATATTTTTAGAATGGCACGCCAACGCACATATGTGCAAGCCTAAAGTGCAATCCATAAATTGGCACTGTGGTGTGGTGCAGACCTAGTTTTTCTTTTTCGAGCATTGAGGTGGGCGAATGCAAAGGGCCCCAATGCATGAAAATGCCTGATGTTAACAAATGCAAAAACGTCTTGGGGCCCGTAATTCTTTTCCTGTTTTTATTATGCATATGTTTTCTAAAGCAGAACTATGCTCACCTTCTCTTCAGCACTGTGGTGTTCTGAAGCTTCCTCTCCAGCAGCACTCCATCTGCTGACATCATTGGTAGGTCTTTTTCCGGTTTCCATTCTTCAGCTGTTTTAAATGGCTGGACCGAAATAATGTCACTCCTGTGTATGCGTGGGAGTTTATTCATGTTCGCAGATTGCTGAAATTGTACACTGAGCTGTACAATCGTGCACTCAGTGTACAATGCAGACAGACAGGTAAGAAACCTTAATGAAGAAGGGACATAGTAGCAGGGGCATCCCTAGGGTTGGTGTCACCCGGTGCGATAACACTTGTTGTCACCCCTCCGACGAACCCTGCAGGATGGATCGGATCTGCGGATTGAGTATAATGGATCGGAGTCCGATCCACTATGCCCCCCAATCCGCAGATCCGATCCATCCTGCGGGGATCGTCGGCTTGCAACCTATACGGGGTTAACTGATCTCTCCACGAGAAGGTAAGTTTTACAGCAAGCCGACGATCCCCGCAAGATGAATCGGATCTGCGGATTGGGGAGCATAATGGATCAGACTCCAATCTATTATGCTCAATCCGCAGATCCGATCCATCCTGGTTATTTAGGGTTGGTGACACCAACCTTAAATAATCATCATGTCATACTTGCCTGCTTCTGCACAGAGCAGTCCGGATCCTCCTTTTCTTGGGTTCCCCGTCCAAACTCCTGGCCCCTATCTCCTGTCATGTGCCCCCTCAGCAAGCAGCTTCCTATAGGGCCACCTGAGCAGGCATGCCCCCGAGCCGCAGCTCTGCATGTCCATTCACACCCAAAGCCGTGGCTCAGCCATGCCCCCTCCCTCTCCTAATTGACAGCCAATGGCTCCTGCTGCTGCCTCAGCCAATCAGGAGTGAGAGTCCTATGAGAACCAAGGTTCTCATGGACATCGCTGGATCCATAGGGAGCTCAGGTAAGTGTTAAAGTGGGCTAGGGGTGCTGCTATACACATATGCATGAAGGTAAAAACCACTGACCCTTTAGAACCACTTTAAAGTATTACTGAACCCATGGCCCTGCATTCACTCTATCTGGTCTCCCACAGTACACAGAACATGAAAACGCAATTATTTTAATAAATATATACTGATAAATACATTTTTGAATCAGCAGTTAGAGCAGTCATGTGGCTTCTATCAGTGTCCAGCAGAGCTCAGGGTAGAATGAAAACTCCAAGTTTTAACCAGACTGTCCTATGAGGCTGCAGGACCCCTGACTCTCTGGACAGCATTGATTGGCCCTGTGCTGATCACATGCATTCTCCCAAGAAAAAAAAAAAAAAAATCTCTCTAGCAATACACATCAAATTTAGCATGTGCAGCTTGCCCCCAAAACTCTATCAGCAGATGGATTGGGGACTGTGGAAGAAGGGGAGGATCAGAGAAGACAGGATCAAACATCCTTTTTGCACAATGCAGGAGATTAACCCCTTAGGTTCCACAGTATAGCAAGCACGCTACACATACAGACTGATTTTACTGCTGTGGGTTTAGTAAAGTTTTAAGATAGAAACCGATTGGTTGCCATGCACAGCTGGCTGTAGATTCTGGCTGCTCCAGTTTTAGTAAAATTAGTCTCACAGGATCCCAATGAGCTTTATATTTTACACAATCTTACCTGTTCTTGGTGATCAAAGAACGTATGTACACATGTTCTGCTGGCGACATCCCATACCTTTACACTTTTATCAGAAGAGCTGATAAGAAAATGACAAATCATTTAATATTTCCCACATCCATTTCATATTAACATGCTTTGAACGACTTACGACTGAGAGACTTACCCAGAGACAAAATGAGCATCATCAGGGGAGAAAGCCACATTCAGAACCCATGAGCCATGTCCACTGAGGGTACCAGCCAAACTGGCATGTTGCCTGACAATAACAGCATACACTTAGTAAAGTAAAAAAAAAAATATATATTCTGCTAGCTATCAAAATACTTGAGAATTAAATGAGTTAGTCATAGTAGACTTTTTAGAGAAGCTGATAAATTTTGTGGGTAATAACACATTGCTCATGTTTTTTAAAAGAATTTCTAAAAAGGTATATTTACACCATAAAGATAATATAAACCTCTACACATCAAAAACACATCTACTTAAAACTTGACTATTAATTCCATACAGTTAATTGTAATTGCTTTGGGTGCTGTAGCAATACTGTAAAATTAGAGAATCAGTGCAGTGACAGCTGCCAAGGTAATGGATACAATTTGTTCCTTGCTATATTATGACAGCTTTAAAGTTACCTGGTTGATTCCATTTGCGTGAATATTATTTCAGAGGACAACACTGTTTATTATAAAGTATTATAGCTTTAAAAAAGAAACCCAGCTTCACAGATCTATAGATATGGATGAGAAATTATTGATGTAAAAATGGTCAATATGAAAAAAAGAGATGATTTACCCCTCTCCTGAAATAAGGAATAATCCACCTTTGTTTGAAATATATTTTGGAATGCAAAACCTTCTGTTATAAGACTCTACTGTGCTATGTATTATATAGGATGAGGTAAGAGTAATTATGTTCATAGCATTGCTCCACTTCAGATATCTGTGAGTATAAAGATTAGCAGCTGTTATACTTCTGCTGTCAAAACAACGCTGGAAACACACAGAATAATTTGTTGGGCCCCATACAAATCTGCAGGTGTTTCACAACTATCTACCATGAAAGAACGACCATTGACTTGCACATTTTTTTTTCCAGGTAAACCATATAAGAGTGAGAGGGAAGTTCTGGAGGTTGTAGCCTTAAAAACAAAGTCACTGACAACTGCCATATTTCTGTCCTGACAGGTTCTCATTAAACATCATTGGGTTTTCCCTGCAAATAAACAAGTCCCAAAACTTACACATCATAGATTTTTATATATCCATCATCAGAGCCTGTAACTAGCAGCTGGGAGTCCGGAGAGAATGTCAGTGATCTGATAGGCATAGCGTGTCCTGAGAAGAAATAATAAAAGAGGGCAATAGTTTGGGGGTGTTTTTTACGTCTTTTTGCAAGATTGAATAAATTCGATATCAATAAACACAACACAACAATATAAAATATTTTCCCCAGCTAGTCGTATACTTTTCTGTCCTCTAATAAGCCTCAAAGTATGAGAGAAGATGCATCCCATAGGAATGAATTTGAATGCAGAGAACTTGTGCAGGCCGGGTTGGGATGATCTTTACAAGTGGCTGCAGAGCACCAAAAAATGTAAGTGATTATTTCTGGTAACCCCCTAGATCATGCTGATAAATGTGATATCAGCATACTAAGTCGCCAATTTGCAACCCATGTTTCCTGTAAATTACTATAATTCTTTATTACTGTATGAAAGGGAGGGTGATTTATCATATCCACTGATCTGGTGCTGCATTTACAAACAAGGAAAAAAGTTTAAATTCTTAAAGCTGAACTCCAGGAATGATCTTTATCACATACTTACATTGGTCTACCTTGACACAAGAACTGTGCATATTGCTGGAGAAGCTGACAATCACTGCAGTATAGTGAAAGGCACTATATTCTGGGTCCTGCTGAGGTTCTGTGGGAGCAGCATCTGCTCACTGACCACAGGGTGTAATTTTTTCAATGAATACATGGTGTTCTCTGATTGGTTGAGGTAGAGATGTCACCACACCTCCTGTCCACCTTGTCCAATCAGAGAACACCTTGTATATATCAAAAAAGACACAAGGCGTTCTATGAATGTCGGTTGTGCCAAGCGAGCGACCCCTTGTGGACAGTGTGCAGAGAAGTCAGTCCAGGAGATCACAGCTATCACTGTAGTAGAGCTGACTACTACAGTGATTAATCAGATTCCCCCCCCCCAAAAAGAAAATCAAAACTGAAATAAAACAAAACATACCTGCAGTGCTATTTTACACGGGACAAACTATAGAATATGTACTTTTGATCTTAATGCTTAAATTATTAAAATATATAAATTGCTGTGGTTCATAGAAAGGTGTACAGGTTTGAAGTGATACTAAGCCCAGGACCCTGCATTCACTATATCTGGTCTCCCACAGTACACAGAACATGAAAATGCAATTATTTTAGTAAATATGAACTGCTAAATACCTTTCTCTCATCAGCAGTATATAGCAGTCTTGTGACTTCTATCAGTATCCAGCAAAGCACCGGTTTAAAGCTTCCGGCCAAGATATCTCTCTAACCGGTTAAAGCTTGTAGGAGGAGTTTTCATTCTCTCACTGCCCTATGAAATTGCATTACCCCTGACCCTCCGTCTGGACAGTGCCGATTGGCCCTGTGCTGATCACATGCACTCTCCCAAAGAAAAAGAAAAAAAACTCTCTAGCAATACCCACCAATCTGAGTATGTGCAGAGTGTCTCAGAGGCTCTATTTTATCAGGAGATGAAATGGGGAACGTGGGAGAAGAGGACGATCAAAGAAGTTAGGATCAAATATCCTTTTTACACAATGCAGAGAATTAACCCCTTAGTTTCCACAGGGAGTATAACAAGCATGCTTTACTGCATATATAGACTAATTTTACTAATGCATTGAGAGCTGAAGTGGTTAAAAAGCAACTGTTTATTCGCCAAGTTCTCTCTTACCTTCCAACGTGTGGAGGAGCTTGCCAGTTGCGATATCAAAAATGTTGATAATTCCATCAATGGCTCCACTGGCCAGATACTTGCCATCTGGACTCTGTTCGGATAGTCAGATATAAAATGTAAGGGATGTACAGTCATTTTTATTTGCATGTATTACATCTGCAGCCACATATACCTACATAAGCAATACTGAGGATAAATTTGCCTCTGGTGTCAAGTGAGAATTCCTTCTTTCCAGTTTCCACACCAAAGATGTTCACTTTTCCCACATGGCTTCCTGTAGCCAAGTGCTGGGAGTCCGTGTGAAAAGGCCACAGACCAAGCATCCACTGCAGACAGAACAGAAAGACCATTACATAACTTAATAGAATACAGTACGTGATATCTTGCAATTAGAAACTAAAGTAATATCTACTACCCACAGTAAGATCTTACCTGGTCCAGCATCAATAGAACGCATTTGCTTTCCAGAGTCCAGATCCCAGAGACGAATATGGGCATCTAAAGAGCTAGAAGCTGCAATGTTTCCAGTGTGACTGACGTCCACAGACACCACTCCCAGCTGGTGACCCTCTAATGTCCATTGAAGATCCAGCTTCTCACCGCTCCTGTATTAATAGGACATGCACTTCAGACATGTTGAAACACAGAGTTCTTCTTGAGTGAGGCCAAATCTAAAGTTATTTTGCAAATAGTAAGTGGGCCACTAAAAAAATAGATCACCTATTTTATTTATATATCACCTATTTATAACCAACTATTTTAATATCCACTGAAGTCACCTGCTGCTCCAGGTTCCCTTTTGTGCAGGCTACATGTGTGAAGAAGGCCTACACTTTTTGTCAGGTCTCAGCTGTGGGGAAGATCGGAATTGAGACCTGCTCATCCTTGCCTTCAGCAGTCATCTTGTCACCAAAGTGTCTGTGTCAGAGCTCTCATATTGAAGCCAAATTAAAACATTTATTAAAGTCCTTTCTTAATCAATGACACCCCAGAAAATTTTGCTGCTGCTTTAGGCACCTTTTTTGCTGGCCATGTGTGAAGGCCTAGGCATGGGCAGCACAGTGATTTAGTTGTTAGCACTTTTACCTTGCAGAACCAAGGCCCTTAGTTCTTATATTGTCTAGGACACTATCTGCATGGAGTTTGCATGTTCTCTCTGTGCTTGAATGGGGCTCTTCTTGGTACTTCAATTTCCTTCCACACTCAAAAGACATGCTTGTAGGTTAATTGGTTCCTGTCTAAGTTAGTCCTAGTATGTGTTTATGTATGCATGTAAGATAGGGACCTTAGATTGTAAGCTTTTGAGGGCAGGGACTGATGTGAATGTACAGTATGTAAAACACCAAATAAATTGTCAATTTATATATACACACACACACACACACATATACATATATATATATATATATATATATATACATACATATACATATATACATATATATATATACACATATACACACATATACATATATATATACATATATATATACACATATACATATATATACATATATATATATACACATATACATATATATACATATACACATATATATATATATATATATATATACACACACACACACACACTATATTGCCAAAAGTATTGGGACACCCCTCCAAATCATTGGATTCAGGCTTTCCAATCACCTCCATGGCCAAAGGTGTATAAAATCAAGCACCTATGCATGCAGACTACTTCTACAAACATTTGTGAAAGAACGGGTCACTCTCAGGAGCTCATTGAATTCAAGCGTGGTACCCTTATAGTCCATCTGTGAAATTTCCTTGCTACTAAATATTCCATGGCCAACTGTTAGTGGTATTATAACAAAGTGGAAGCAACTGGGAACAACAGCAACTCAGCTACAAAGTGGTAGGCCACGTAAAATGACAGCCCGAGGTCGGCGCATGCTGAAGAGCATAGTGCGCAGAAGTCGCCAGCTGTCTGCAGAATCAGTAGCTAAAGACCTCCGAACTTCATGTGGCCTTCACACAACAACATTGTAGAGAGCTTCATGGAATGGGTTTCCATGGCCGAGCAGCTGCATCCATGTCTTACATCACCGAGTACAATACAAAGCATCGGATGCAATGGTGTAAATCACTCTTCTGTGGCTGGCAATCCAATGGACGTGTCTGGGTTTGGCGGTTGCCAGGAGAATGGTACTTGCTTGACTGGATTGTGCCAAGGGTAAAATTTGGTGGAGGGGGATTTTGGTGTGGGGTTGTTTTTCAGGGGTTGGACTTGGCCCCTTAGTTCCACTGAAGAGAACTCTTAAGGCGTCAGCATACCAAGACATTTTGAACAATTGCATGCTTCCAATTTTGTGTGAACAGTTTGGGGATGGCCCCTTCCTGTTCCAACATGACTGCGCACCAGTGCACAAAGCAAGGTCCATAAAGACATGGATGAGCGAGTTTGGGGTAGAGGAACTTTTTATTAATATTTTATTTATTTCAGGTACTTATATAGCACCATCAATTTACGCAGCGCTTTACATATATATTGTATATTCACATCAGTCCCTAACCCTCAAGAGGTGTACAATCTAAAGTCCCTACCTTACATTCCTACATACACATACTAGGGCCAATTTAGACAGGATTCAATTAACCTACCAGCATGTCTTTGGTGTGGCTTGACTGGCATGCACAGAGTCCTGAGCTCAACCTGACAGAACACCTTTGGGATGAATTAAAGTGGAGATTAAGAGCCAGGCCTTCTCATCAGACATCAGTGCCTGACCTCACAAATGCTCTTCTGGAAGAATGGTCAAACATTCCCATAGACACACTCCTAAACCTTGCCATTAAAGTTCATGTGCGTGTAAACGCAGGCAATCCAATACTTTTGGAAATATAGTATGTACGTGTTCACACACACACTAAATATCGTCAGAAATATTTTATGTGCGGCTGCACCCCTTCATGACCACTAGGAAGTGGGCATTATTCATATAAGCTCCTAGGTTTGTGCTCCCAGCCTGTGACCTTGTGCCTAAAGTGCAAACACCTGCGCTCCCAGCCCTGAGACCAAGCTGTTACTGGCAGCTCCGGGTCACATACTAATGATCACTGTGATAGCCTGTGACATGCTATCACAGTGATCACTCACTCTGTAGCCCAATCCCTGTGTTGTTTCTACTCTTTGAAGAGGAAAAGATTTATTGTATATTTTCCTTCTCGCTAGAGAAGTCTGTTAAAAAAAAAGTCTGTTGAAAAAAATAAATAAATAAATAAATAAAAAGATTAACTAGATCAGAGCTTGATCTAGTTTAGTGAGTGTTAGTGGCAGTGTGTCAGTTTCAGTGATAGTGGCAGCGTATTTGAGGTAAGAAAAATACAGTTTTATTAACATACGCCAGAGATACAAAATTGGGTTTGGGGCGCTAAAGTGTTACAAAACCCACAACAGTAAAATCAGTCTATACGCAGTTAAGCATTCTTGTTATACTCACTATGTTACCTAAGGAGTTAATCCTCAGCATTGTATAAAAAGGATGTTTGATCCTGTCTTCTCTGATCCTCCCCTTCTTCTACTGTCCCCAACTCATCACCTGATAGAACAGAGGCTTGGTGCAAGCTGCACATGCTCAGTTTAGTGTGTAGTGCTAGAGAATGTTTTTTTTTTTCCTTGCGAGAGTGCAAGTGATCAGCACAGGACCAATCAGCACTGTCCAGAAAGAGGGCCGGGGATCCTGCATCCTCATAAGGGACAATCCAAAGTCTACAAGTTTTAACCAGTGCTCTGCTGGACACTGATAGAAGTTACAAGACTAATTGCTGATGAGAAAAGGTATTTAGCAGTTTATATTCACTAAAATAAATTGCACTTCTATGTTCTGTGTACTGTGTGAGACCAGATATAGTAAATGCAGGGTCCTGGGTTTAGTAACACTTTAATATTTGCTTTGACCATGGTGTGTGAAGGGGTTAAACACCTCAATTGTGACATCTATCGCACCGTATAGTTTGCCTCAATCTTCTGCATGCAATAAAGATATCCATTGATGACAAGTGTTTGGGGAGTTCAGCTATCTGATGAAGACTGTCTGCAGTGATTGTCAGCTATATTCAGGCCAGATATAGAGGTCTCAGGAAGAGGTAAGTCACTATTACAACTATTGGAATCAGAACATATTACTTTTTTGATTAGGCAAAATATTTTTTATACCAACTTAGCTTACCATTTCCACACCTTCACCAAATCATCCAGGGAACCACTGACTACCGTCTCCGACCCATCATTTGTGTTCTTACCCCAAGCTACTGACCATATGGCATCGCTGTGTGCTAGGAAAGAAAAGTGTGCATTACAACGTAAGGGATCTTCGTCATTATGATGTCAGAATATTAATATGGATCATCTAGACAACAACAACATAGTCAAGATATGTCAAGGCCTGTACACAAGATAAGAAAATCGTATGAACATGTCCGTAAGAGGAACAATCAAACAATTACTTGATTGTTAGTATAGTGCTTTCGACAGCCGATAACCATTCAGACATCAAAATCTGAAGGAGCAAGCTAGAAAATCTTTTATTGTACATGAACACAACATTCAATTTTCAGTCAATGTGTACAGTAATCGTACCGAAATAATCGAATAGAAAAAAAACAAGCATGCTCAGAAGCAAAGAACGAACCCACACTTCCTCTTCTACTAAACTAGCACAGTAGGTAGGTATATTTGCTTTTGTCAGTCGAGAGTCTTCATACAAGTTAATACCATGGTCAGTTACATCATAATACATGCCTTTGTGGAAAATTGGACGATCATTTGTCTGATTTTCTCATAGTGCGCATGCATAGCAGAAACTGTTTTTGTTTGATAGAGTAGGGAAAGGTTAGAACCTCTGAAGGTTTCCATTGCCATCTGTGTTTCCAGTAAGAAGATTTACTCTGTTGGGTTAATTTACTAAAACTGGGGAGTGCAAAATCTGGTGCAGCTCTGCAGGGAAACCAATCAGCTTCCAGATTTTATTGTCAAAGCCTAACTGAATAAGCTGAAGCTAAAAGCTGATTGGCCACCATGCACAACTGCATCAGATTGAGTGCTCCAGTTTTAGTAAATCTCCCCATGTGTGTCATGGTGATTACTGCCAGCAGTACAGAAAAATTAAAAAAATCCAAGGTTATATAGTTCTACAAGCAAGACCCTCCTATTCCTTCTGTACTGAAATGTATTGTAATTGTACTGTCTCCCTTATATTGTAAAGCATTGTGCAAACTATTGGCGCTACGTAAACCCTGTATAATAATAATATAGTTACCAGAGCCGGAGAGGGTACATCTTACAATGGGGGCACCTGTTCATGACAACTGCTTGAAAGGGGATTTCCCCTAAATTTGTAAACATTTCCTCTCACTTCCTGTTGTCTCCCCAAAACAGAGTCAAGGGAAATCTCCCCACAGAGGTACAGACTTTATATAAAGTTACACATAGGGGTTTAATGGTTTTCCTTTTCTATCCAAAACAATAATTTAATTCTGGATAAAGATGTTCATTATTCTACTCATTCCATGATCATACTTCACGAAAAGTAATCTATTGTCCCCAAATGCAGTTTACCTTATATTAACTTGTACACAGTGAAAGAACACCTTGTATTTTGTGAAAATAAATAATATGTGTGAATGGATGAGGTGGAGTGCGAGCGCCCCACTATCATCACTGTATGAGAGGTGGAACTGTAAGGACTTGTTCACACATGGGTTGATTATGGGGTACAAAGCAATGCTCATTAATGAATCTATAGCATTTATAATGTGTTAAGGACTTGTTTTTTGTTGTGTTGAGGTGTTGAAAAAGCTTACAAAATGCTTGATAAATACCATGAAAGTGTTCCTTCTCTAGTAGGAAGTGCTTATAGGGGAAGTGATGAAGATGAAATAATCTGCTTTATCGTGTGGTAAGTTTGTGGTGTGATAGCAGACATTTTTGCGAATTCTGTACAAGCTGGATTCATATGCAGTGCTTTGATCTCTGACAATTGGCTTAGTCCAGCTCAGCTTTGCTAACACAAAAAAACTTTGCCGCTGACAACAATGCTCAATGCCTCTGCCCCTACTTGACACTGTCAGTATTGTTGGCTGGGTTGAAGCTTTTGCCTGCACACAGAAGCAAATGGTCTTACAACACAGCTGCTCTGTACAAACAGGAAGTGTCTGGAGGTGCTCTGTCCTAGTTCTCTATTACTTCCCAGTGCATTCTGGGATACCGGGGCCTCCAATGTCTATCTCCCAGTGTCCAGCTAACACTTTATAAATGCTTCAGTAACACTCCATAAATGTTATGTGCTGTTAATATGCAGTTATAGAGCATTACCACTGAAATCAATGGAGGCGGCTGACAAGTGTTAATCTGTCATGAAAGTGACATGATGCTTAATTTTTAACATGACAAAACACAACGCTACCACTCTTGTGTGGACAGCACTGTGTGGTGCCATTGTAATATTCATGGCAGGTGTTGAAGGGAAATTATGAGGCTTTAAAATGAGGAATAAATGCCACATAAACACAGGGTATTGACGCACGTGTGAACAAGCCCTAAGTCTCAATGCTGGAAGTTCTGAACTTGCACTAGTGGCAGGATGAATGATAATAATAGTTTTATGTACTGCAGTACTATCCACAAATGGGACACCCATTATTATAAGTGATTTATTTTCACAAAGCAAATATCTAACAATTGAAAATGTTCCTGGAGTCTAAGCTGATTTCCAAGTTTTAGTGAAATTTAAATCGTTTATTTGGTCCAAACTATTACCTTCACTACCATAAATGCCCACTCTGTGTGTTGTATGAACTGTATGAAGCCTCAGCTACATACAGTATACTGCACTGTGTTCCAGCAGCGAGATGAGGTCAGGCTAAGCACTGCTCAGCCATTCACATGGATCTTTGTATTCTATGAAATAGAAAGCTTTCTCTGATTACCTGAGGCAGAGAGCAGGGCGGATGATGTCATGATCTCCACCTCTGCCAGAGGAAGATTTCTATTCATCCAAAAATACAAAGCTCCCTGTGGATGGCTGAGCAACACTCAGGCCAACTTGATTTTGTTCCAGGAGTGGGACAGGAAGTTCCCATCCCACTGCCAGAACACAGTGCCCTATACTGAATGTAGCTGAGGCTACATAGTTTATACAGCACACAAAGCAGGTACATCCAGCAGTGAAGAGAATACTTTGTTTGGACCAGCTTGGTCCAAACAAACTATTTAATCTTCACTAAAACATGGAGATCAGCTTTTGGCTTTAAATAAGAATCAAATCTCTCTGTTCATAAGGATCTCAAACCAAGCCAATCTGAGGTTATGTTTTCTAATCTGTTAGGGCTCGTTCACACACTGGATGTCAGTCACTGCTGGCCACAAATAAAATGGCACAGAGCAGGCAAGTATAAGCCCCGGTTCACACTAAGAATCGCACAGGAATGCACTGTATGTGCTTGTTTGATTTACATGCGATTCAGTGCAGTGTGATTTGAGCTCATTCTTTTTGAATCGGCTCAAATTGCATTGCTTTTGGAAACGCACTGCAACCAGATCATATAGTAATTCCGTACCATGTGATCCGGTACAGGCAAACTCACTGCGTTTGTGACCCGTTTGGGGGTGTCGCTAACTTAACAGTGCCACCTGCTGCAGATCACAACCACAGTGCGTTTTGAACACAACACGGGAACTGCGCACGGAACGTGGGCTTCCTGCACTGTGTTCTGGTGTGAAACTAGTGTAAACCACTTATATTTTAGGTAGTAAAACATTAGCTTTTAGTATCACTTTATAAGCATTGTAAATACTGCAAAAAACAACCCAGCTGAGGATATACAGCACTAACACTATAATATCCCAGCACACCATCATTTCTGGAAGATACGGGGCTCTTACCTAGCTCTTGCTTGTAGAGGATGCTGTACTGTTAAAGATACAAAAGACACAATGTTACTACAAAAAAGTCATTAAACAAAACAACTTGCAACACAAAGCCTAGCAATCCGCTGTAACCCCAGATCTGGGACGTGTGATGTGCTCCACACTGCAGTCACCTGTGTGCTCATGTCCAGCCGCTGGAGGGATGAAAGCTAACCGATCACTGAGGGTACAACACCAGCTTATCTCCTTCCCCACCGCGGCTATGGAACTCCTATGTCCGCAGCGAACGACCGTTTCACGTTGCTAACAGCAGTTTCTAAGTTCCTCCGCCAACATAACAGTCGCTTTCAGATGACGTAGTAGAACCATGTTCATTCATCCCGCACTAGAGGGAAGGAGAGGCGCCCTTCCGGGTCTTCGTTGAGGGGGCGTGTCTGTGTGGGCTGCTGACCGACTGTCTAGTTCTCTAGTATAGATTTCAAATGTTCTTCATTTCAGAACCAGAATGTTCTGTTCTTCTTTAGCCTTCATTTTCCTGACGTACACACTCCTTTTATTTACTTTGTACTAAACGTTTTATCTGGCTTTAGGTGTGCAGTGGTATTTTATGATAGGAGGTGTATGGCCAGTTATAGAATTACCACCTCATCCGTTTAAACCCAAACACATATTAATTACACAGGTTCTGGGACTAATTTGTTGCAGATAAGGCACTAAGTGACTTTATCCACTTGTCTTCCAGAGGATTTACCCCCCACTCCCCTTTCCTGACCAGGCTGCGCAATTGTCAGTTAAAGTAATGCAGCGGTGTAACGCAAAAAATGGCCTGGTCAGGAGGGGGCTAAATCATCAGGAGGGCAAGTGGTTAAATTTATTTGTTTTAAACTTTTTTTTACATTTCCTCAGTTACTTCCTGGTTTCCATGGATAGGCAGATGATGTCATGTATCTCGGGAGTCTTCAGCAAAGGAGCGAGGGTTCTCAGCTCAGCCTATCCCTGAGCTAAGGGCAGATGGAGTCCAGGAAGTAAATGATACATGAATCATCTGCCCTTCCAGAAATGCCAGGGGGTGTTTTTCAAAATGATTTCTCAACAAAATAAGGCATGGACACACGGATGCATGGGGGAGTTAGCTCTGAATATTAAGAATAAATAACATTTTTAGTTTGTGGTGCTCAGATTCAGTGCAGTTCCACTTTAATATGTGTTCGGTTTTAAAGGCATGAGCTGGCAACCTTATGGCCAAAGCTTTTTTAGACATACTTTTCGTGTAGGTCACAGGAGTGCAATTAGTTCTGTACTTCTGTTGTCGTAGCACCCAGAGGTTGTAGAGTTCCAATTTAAACTCTAACATTTCTAACAGTATCCACTTGCAAGGTTTTTGGATCATCTTCCCCCTCCCTTATTTCCTATGAGTATTATGTTGTATCAGCTCGTAGCTGGGATTGTTATCTGCAGCTGCTGTCCAAGGTTATTCTGCAGAGTTTAGGAAGCCTGTTGAAAGTAATAGAAAGTGAAAGAAGAAATGTATGCTTTGTGACGTAATCATTGGTATATACGCTTGTAAGAAGTTGTCTATAAGTCACTTAGCAGATGAGAGCACAAGCTGTCTGTTAAGTCAAAACAGCGTTGTTTTTAATAAATCATTTGTATTCCTCAAGTCCATGCCCGGAGTTCTCTGGTTTGCCAAAATTGCTACTACACTGTGACTCGTATTCACCCAGTCCAGACTTTTGGAGGGATCCTGATTTTAATGTCGGGATCCTCCCAGATTAGGGTTGCCACCTCATACCTTTAAAACCGAACACATATGAATTACACAGGTTCTGTAGCTGATTAAGTTGGTAATTAAAGCGGAGATCCACCCATAAGGGGAAGTTCCACTTTAAAGACTGGTTCCCCGCTCCCCAATAAGGATTGCCACCTTTGGGAAGCAGGAGGGGGGGAGCTGGTACCCGAAATCAACAGTTACCCGCTCCCATTTCTGCTGCGATCGCCAAGGCAATCGGAAGTTGTCCTCCCCCCCTCCCCGTAGTCTTCTGGGAGACGTGACAGGTCCTGGAAGACTACAGGACCATTCAGGTAGCCCAGCGCTACTTGTGCGTGCACAGTGGGCACCTGGCTGTGAAGCCGCAAGCTGTTACAGCCGGGTGCACACACTGAAGATGCCGGCACCTGGAACACCAGAAGGCTGGTGAAATGGGCTGTGGAGAAGACACCGCGGGATAGAGGGACAGGTGAGTGGCTGTTTTTTCAAAGTCAGCAGCTACAGTTTTTGTAGCTGCTTTTATTTTTTCACAGTGCGACTGGAACTCTGATTTAAAATCAGTGCCTTATCTGCATTAAATTAGCCTCAGAACCTGTGTAAATTTTATGTGTTCGGTTTTAAAAGGATGAGGTGGCAACACTATCACAGATGTTTGAACCAGAAGCTGGCTCAGCCTTTCAGCGAGCCTGTGAGAGCATGAGCCAGCAGCTCCCACCTCCTCCATAGCCCAGTGTTGCAGTGAGTGCTGGAGAAGTAAAGCAGAGAGTTGGTGACTGTCAAAGCTTGAGCCAGCGGCTCCCTCCCCCCTGCACAGCCCAGTACTCCAGTGAGTGCTGGAGGGGCAGAGCAGAGAGCCAGAGACTGACAGTCACCTCTCTGTGCTCACGTAAAACTGAGAACTGGCAAGTCAGTGGTCTGGTTCTTCCCACAGTTTTCTTTTGACACTAAAGGACACTGCATTGAAGTAGGTTTTAGGGCCTGTTAAGGGCCTGTTCACACTATAGAAACGCAGTTCAGATATGTTCCGTAGGTCACACGGCATCATCATCACAACCCCCTGATGAAGCCGCGTGAGTGACTGCGGCGTAACGTGTAGGGGAGGGGCTACAACATCACGGACCATTCCTGGAGGGCAAGTACACATACCACATGCTGTGTTCGGCTTATTGAAAGGCGTTCTATTGTTCTTAAAAGTGGTCTTCATGTTTATCTAATGTGAGTGCATTTGGGCATGGAATAAAGTGTTTTAAATATAAAAAGGATAAGGCACTATTCTTTGCACTTCTCTCCTACTGAGGATATGTCCAAAGGAGGAATACAAGGGAGGAGCTGCAGGAGAGAGAGATCCCACATGCTGTGTTCGGCTTATTGAAAGGCGTTCTATTGTTCTTAAAAGCGGTTTTTCAGGTTTACCTAATGTGAGTGCATTTGGGTATTGAATAAAGTGTTTTAAATATAAAAAGGATAAGGCACTATTCTTTGCACTTCTCTCCCACTGAGGAAATGTCCAAAGGAGGAATACAAGGAAGGAGCTGCAGGAGAGAGAGATCCCCAGCAGAGATGAGAGAAGGGAAGCCAGTTGGGAGATATCCACCACACCTCATATGATGCAATACACATCTATTCTAAAAGTTCCTTAAGAGAACGAAAGCGCAGTAAGCCTTTTATAGGCTAGCAAGGAGGTGAGCGTACATCTTATAAATGACAATAAGGAAGTCATTGGAATTTATCATTACTAAGAGTTGACAACATTACTAAAGAAGTCACTGGAATTTATAACCTCACTTTAATCACTGGGAGTGGTCACTCTAATTTAATTAGAGACTTTTTTTCATTATATATCATTCACTGGAAATTTGAACAGATATTTTGATCACATTGGTTTGATTTATTATTGTCTTTACAGGGGTTTTATTTATTTAATTTATTTATTTTAAACAATTCTACTATTTGATTATATTTTTCAATTGTATGGGTATATTATTTTTATTATTTTAATTTATTTGCTGGTTTAGGAGCTGATTATAATGATGCTGAAGGACATGTTCCCATTTGAAAATATGTTGGGTTCTAGTATGGCTCCAAAACATGTAACTTCTAGGATATATAAGACTCTCATTGAATTAAAGGGGGAGGGTCCTCCGTTATTCTTAGAGAAATGGGAAAGGAAACTGGGAACAAAAATGAGTGAACAACAGAAAAATAAAATGTTTAAACTAACACATAGGGTGATAAACATGAACACAGTTGAAATGAAGTATAAATGTTTAACGAGATGGTATTTGACACCGAGTGTTGCACATAGACAACGAGCAGAAGTCTCACCATTATGTTGGAGGGGATGTGGAGCTAAGGGAGCAATGGCACATATATGGTGGGATTGTCCAAAAATAGAGGGGTTTTGGCAAGATATAATCCAATTTTACAAGAGATATTAGGGACCACTATACAGAAGGATCCGTAGGTGTGTTTATGTTATAGGTCAGAGATATCAGTGAAGCAATATGAAAATAGTGTATTATACCACCTAATTAGCGTGGCTAAGGGACTCATTCCCAAATTCTGGCAGGTACAGGAGCCTCCAACAATGAGGGACTGGATAGACAGGGCTGCATTTATAAATAAGATGGATGAGTTGTACCATATAGATGAAGATAAAACTGAAAAATTCAGAAAAGAATGGGGTAGATGGTATGACTTCAAGACATCTGAAAAATATATGTAAGTAGTGGGAGTCCCAGGTGATCTGAGGTAGGATAATTGAATGGAATGTTTGAAAGGCCGTAGCAAAAAAAAGGAAAAGGGAAAAGAAAGGCTGGAGGGAAAGAAAGAATGGCAAGAAAAGGAAGTGTAGGAAGAGATGATCAAGGAGAAGGGATATAGACATGGACTGGAATGATGGAAAGAGATAGGAAGAGTTATATGGACTGGGGTAAGTTGAAGGTTGGTTGGGAGGGGGGAGATAGAGATGGAAAATTTAGGTGAAATGTTTGTATTTTGGAGGCATATGGTATATTGCTGAGATTTTGTAATGAAAAATGTAATAAAAGATATAATTTATAAAAACAAAAGACAGTAAATATACAGGAATTTTTTTACTAGTATTGGCGGCGATTAGTGATTTATAGCATAGCAGTTTATATATTTACTAAACTGTGATTTATGTTTAGCCTGGGTTTTATATTAAATACTAAAATGGAGAGAATTGCATTTCCATGTACCAATAACCCCTGTACTACTGTGGGAGACCTGATAGATGTCAATCATCGCAATAAAAAG